TATGGAAGAAAATTAATCGTTTAGATTAATCAATCAATCAGTAAAATAGTCCATAAATGAATCCATAGTAAAACAGTCATTAGTGGCAGCCCTACTGCTGTGTGTTAAACAGTAAGTGTCCCACACATGAGGAAGTTGCTGATCACCGGTGATTAAGTTGTTGTTCAAATTATCATCAATGGCATCTGTTTTCCAGAGCTGGCAGAGTTGTCAAGAAAACAATATCAGAGCCATACATCAGATCAAGAGATCAACCACGTCAACACCAGCTCAAGAGGAGTTTTTCCTGTTTGCTTGAAAACTAAGAGGTGGGAGATGAGCAGCGTTCCTTACAGCTCTGAGTATAAAGAGAGTATATGTGAGGATCCCACATTGATATGAAGAGGCCCAGCACAGACTAACATTCATAATCAGCTCCAGTCCTAGAGGGGACTACAGGAGAACAGCCAGGACAGGCAGTCAAAAAGACAGCATTCAACCAGAGGCAGCCCTGCTTTGGAGAGAAGCCTACCTTGAAATGTAATGCAATGCCAATGGGCAAAGTGTCCCCTGAATAGGAGTTCTCCACCTCAGGGGAGGGCAGCCAGAGAGAGCGTTAACCCTCATTCACAAAGTCCAGGAGGGGCCACTGTGCCACCAGCGTGACCAGGGGTGTGAAGACTCAACCGGTTTTAACATGAAAGATGTAACTACATTGATACATGGACACCTGGATCAATCTATGTCCCACGAAACGGTTTACAGTCCACCATCAAATTCTAAAGTTAAATCTAAAATCTAAAGTTTGGAAGAAATTTGGATTTTATAAGAAGGAATGAAAATTGAACAAAAGTCTGACCATTTGTAAAGTCTGTAGAACAGTGATTCAGTACAGCGGTAACGACAAATCTTCCCACTCACCTGGTGAGATGGCACATTTAAAAAATGGAAATTTGTACGCCAATATTTTCTATAGCTACTGGTTACAGTTTGCTGCTGTACCCTGTTTTCAGTTAAATGTTGCACTTGTTACTTTAGTGCTACTGTTATGTAATTATTACTGCAATTATTTTACCTCAATAGGATGCTCATTCGGATAAGCGAAAGTAAATGGATGGATGGATGGATGGATGGATGGATAGGATGCTCATTGCCAAGGCTCAAGTTTCATCAAAGGTTTGGAGCGATATTACATTAGGGGCAAAGCGTATTTCTCACAGTCAGTGCATGAGACCTGAGAGCCCCGCCGACCTCATTCACTGGATATTGCTCTTACACTTCCTCCTTTTCTGCACTCCATCTGTGTGTGTATCCATGTAATAATGTGCTTGCAGCGGGATCATATATAACTTATTTTGGAATTTACCCGAAAACAACATATACTATTTTCTGTCTGGCTGGTAGGTGGCTATTATCTCTGTATAACTCAGAACAGTTATTAAGTCGGCAGAAAACTCCGCTCCGTATGCCTGTGCATCGTCCATTAATCCTGCATAATGGGACACCTTGGTGGGCGTCATCCTTTACTTCTCAGGGTGAGGAACACAAAGAGTGGCGTGTGAGCGTGTGAACTGGTTGAAATGCGTGTCATGGTCAGTGCGTGAGACTTTAGAGTCCAGCTCATTGCTCTCCCATCTGAGCACTCATAGAACATTTTATAGCTTCGATGTTAGAGGGTCTTTGCAAAGTCATGAATTGCAATGTACTGAAGGGCTAAGACTGCTATGTTTTTCGTTTATTTTTATTGTATCGTAGCCCATGTATCACGAAATGTATCGGATGAGGGAGAGATGGGCACCCCTAACCATAACACATGATGAAAACGGCATGAGCGACAGACAACAGGTATGTCAGCAATTAAGCCAAACACCCATCTAAACAGTCAAATCAAGTCCTAAACAGGCAAACGGTACAAATGACCATCTGACTAGTAGAACGCGAGGAATACAGGGGGTGTTTATAGGGGTATGCTCCAAAACTCCTGAATACGTACAAGTAGCCAACAGAAAATCACAGAATATTTCAACAACTTGTATCATTTCTAAAATTTCTAAGTCAAATATAGGAGCATTAGAAACCATATCATTCACCTGTCTCCTGTATGCCATACAAGTGCTGATCTTATGCCAAGTCACTGTGAAGAAAAGGATCAGCTAAGAAATTGTGAAGCAAACATGAATGGAAAATTAACAGCATTAAATCAACACAAAGCCTTTGCAACGGGCAAATTGCCAGTTTGCCAGCAATCCATGGAATTACAAGACTTTCTAATGATGGGTTACGAGGCTTTTAGAAATAAACACACAGGAATATGGCTAACAACATAATTACATCCTGTTAAGTGCATAAAAATATGGAATATACGATACTGTCCTTTCTCAGGTCTGAAGGGGGGCTGAAGACTAAAACTTACTGAAATTACATTACAAATAATGCAATTACTCAGTACTAAAACAGCACACTCTTACAGTAGTAATAACTATCATATTTATAGCCCCTCTTAAAAACTCACCATTTTATGTTTAAATGTCCATTAACAGTGCACTGTCAGAAGAATCACTAGACTAGACAGACTAGACAGAAGAGAATCACTAGACCTTTTTTTCCCATAAATCCAATTTCCTCCAGAACTTGTTAAGTCAGGGTTTTGGTGATCCAGAGCCGATCTCAGGGATTACACACAGCAGGCAAAAACCCTGCGATTCATTCCCAGTCCTCCCAGTCAGCCGCTCAACAAGGAAGACCACCCAAATACCCAACAAATCAATTCCCTTAAACATGCCTTTTTTATATATGTTTTGCATTAACACACAAAGTGAATTCAGAAGACCATAAAAGTAAATTATATAATTTAAGTTTTATCTATAATAACTACAGGGCAAAAACATGGTACCTCATATGAGCCTTCAAAATAACATCATTCCACATGATACTACAGACAGTGGGATTCAATTCTAGTATAACTACCTGTTGACTCGGGGGCAAACAAGAAAATCACGCAAATGAGATCTGACTGGTTTCTCTGCATTTTCTATGACTCCCTCACCTTTCAATTCGATTCCACGCGTGACGAGCCACAGTTGCAGCTCTCTTGTTGTTATTTTATCAGCTGTTCGCTTAGCCCCGCCTTCTGCCAGCTTCCGGGTAGTAACCGAGCGGCCAATCAGCGCTCCAGCTCGCCTCGGAAAAGGAACAAAACAGCAAACAGTTCGCTCGCTCGCTCCTCTGAATTTCACGGAAACTCCAGCGACGCGTTCGCTGCCCAAACTTAAAGCGTGTAACACGTTTACACGCGAATGACAAACTGACTGTGAATCGACAAAAACCCTGGGAAGCGCGACATAACGTGACTCGGTGTCGATGTTCTTTCAGACAAAAATCACACAGTAGTAAATAAGTGCTTGCACTCAAGTCATTTTACCACATAATGCAAACACTAGCAGACAACAGTGACAGGAAGAAAAAAAAACATCTAGTGGACAGTTTTACCGGTAATCCGCGTTTTATAACCGCGTTATACTCGAAAACAGCCGGATAATTTAAAGTACTTTAAGCAAAGCAAAGGGGGGATCAAACATGATAGAAAGCTGCGCACCTTTACAGAAATACATCACCCACTTTATTTGTACAATCCTACATTATACAATAGCAAAAGTACGGAACATGACTAAACTTGGTAAACTTACATTACCACAGCTGTTTCGGACGTTAAACCGGATGTTAATCAACTATATGTTTAAATGCACTAAACTTAAAGGTGATAGCGGCGTTAATTTTGCTGGTAACATTAAGTCTTTTGTATCTAGTTAAACGGATTAACTAGACTCGTGAACCGATTTTTTTTATTTCAAAAATATATACTAAGCTAGGTACCAAATCAGAAAAGGATAATGTTAAAAACACTATACCACATATTAACATTTAAACGACAAATCAGATGTGATATGCCTTTCTAATTCCCATTTCGGATTACTTGTGAGAGGAAAACTTTGCAATTGTGTACTTAAACCACCTGACTCATTAACCTATTTTTTAATTCGATGATCAATAATATCACAGTTTCATATATATCCTACATCGATGGCATATATGGCCCTGCTTCGTCAATATTAACACCGTAAAAAACAAAAAGCTTTCTCAGAGTTACAACTGCCTACGCTACAGTACTACATACAGTAAAACGTTGATTTCTCTGACAACAGAAGTTATATAAAGTTGTTTTAAATGTGGCAGTTAAGGCTAATTTATTAACTAGCTGCATGGAAGGCTATTCTTGTTGGGTTGCCATATTAATAATATTGAGAAAGTCAACGAAGGTAAATATTCAAACACACCGAACTATCAGAATTTTATAAATATTGTTAGTTTTACATTACCACCATGCAGTTACCACCAGTTAATCAGATCTAAAACAATCTTTAACCTGTATGAAAATACTGCAGTGGCTCCAAATATAGCCACCGAGCACTGTAGCTAGCTTAAGGCTGCAAATCGTTGAAAATCTGTCTAGCTGCATTTTAAGCAAGTAGCTAAAAATAGCAGGCTAACCAGTTAACTAGCCGCATTATATGCTCAAATGCTGCTGTTTGAAACGACCAGACCGAGCCACATAGCCAACACCAAGCAATAAGTGATTGTGTAATAACACCTATTTTTACTGTACAAACAAAAGCATTCGAGATATAGGACATTCACAACACTGCCACGTCCTAGCAAGATCAGTAAAGCAGAGGAAAATTATATATATATATATATATATATATATATATACACACACACACACACACAAACGTCGGCAATGCACAAAATTAGGTTGTCTCACTTTTTGTTGTCATGAAAATCTTAACATCAATAACGCTGGCTTTATAATTGCTCATACAATACCCTACAGTTCGAGATATTAATACACGCCGGTTATAGATGTTAGGGCTGTTCGTTTTAAACAGTTGTCATTATATTTCTAGTGTAAGAAGAGATGATGCTTTCTTATGTTCCTTGTTGTTTATGTTGAGAAAGGATACAGTTTTACCACATCGGTGTCCATTCGCCTCTTAGCAGGACTTGGAGACGACATTTTTGTATTCCCGTGTAGAACTACAATCTTCTCTTCTGATCAGTTAAACGTTCGCCCAATATATACTATTTGTTATTTTTCATTTGCCTGAGCAAACTGCGGACTCTGTGAAAGCCTTCCACGTCCCCCCACTTTTTCTCCGCAGCAATTTTCGCTCTCTCGCTTTACAGCTCGGAACCCCCGCCCCCCTACCTCTCTCCGCCTCTCCGTCCTGCTCCTGATGGCAGTGACGTCAAATTGAGGCGTCAAATTTAAGGACAATACATTTGACGTTACAATAAATTGCATGCTCTGAATTGTAGTTGTCGCTGCAAATCATCTGTACAAAAAGGAGCCAAAGTTTTATGTTTTAATTATTCAAGATTCAAGATCAAGATTCAAGATTCTTTATTCGTCACATGTAGTTGTAGCTGGTACAACATAGAGTGAAATGTGTTTTCCTGGCTGAAAAAAGTACTCTCCGACTGTGCTAGACATACCAAAAAATGAGAGGTAAGAAATAAGTACTCAACAGAGGATAAGTATAAAATAAGAGAAAAAAATTATCAGTGTAAAAAGACAAGGTAATAAGTACTAACAGAGGATAAGTATAAAATAAGAGGAAAAAACAAAAAAATCTTACTGTGGTAAAAATACACGAGCACACATTATTACAACAGAGGCCACTAAGTAAGTTAAAGAATTATTTGACTTTAGGGTTACCACCTAATCCATGTCAGGAAGGACACTGAGCTAGGACCGGATTTGTAAACTACCATTTACATTTGGCCTGGATTTTACTTAAACTGTGTGCTGTTTGGTCAGTCTCCTACAATCATGCATGTGCCACTAATATTAATGTGAAAGAGATGAATGAGATTTTTAATCTTTTAGCTGTTACGATCCCCAGTCTAGGGTTATGGATAAACAGAAAGGAAAGGGAAAGGGTAAGGGAAGACAAAAGGGACCGGGAAAAGGGAACACGAGACACAAAGGGATGTTTTTGTAGTATTTTTTATATTTTATTCACAGACACTTCACAACAGTAGGTGCAACAGACTTCAGTAGTGACAGTGGCCAAAATAACAAACAAAACACATCTAACGAGCACAACCAAAACTAAGCTAAACCTAAGTGTAACAAAAACAAGTGGAAACGAAACAGCAATACTAAACCTATCTCCCTAACCAAACATACAATAAATTACCACGTCTTGCAAAACAAAAAAAAAAGCAGTCACTCCTTATGCACCAAGTTAAACACATACAGCAAACACACAATTCAAAGCGACGGTGTCCAAGGGGGCGAGCAAAAGAATAGTCAACAACAGGCGTGAAATCAAACCAAAAGTGAAAGTACAAAAGGGCAAAACGGAAAATCAGAAACCAATAACCAAAACTTTCATACACCAAGTTCAAAACCAATAAAGCAAACCACAATAATCAAAAACAATGAGCAGAGCTCCCGAGGTACACCAGCCGTGGCCTTTTCTTTCCATGAACCGGAAACAGCTCCGAAAATGAGGGAGGCATGGCCAGGTCCGGAAGGCAGAGTCGAAGGAGCGGCTGACGAATGGCGAAGGCAGGACGTCCAGAGAACCTGCAGGGTAACCTCCCAAATCTTACAGCACGTAACTCCCCCCTCACACAAGAGTGATCCCGGGCAGGTGTTCACAATCACAGACATAAGCAATCAAAGGCACCCGAAAAAAAACAAACAAAAGAACAGAAAACTAGGACAAACAGAAAATGAGTCGCGAGTAACCGAGGGTGTCAATTTCTGGAGAGGGCATCTGCCACAAGGTTACTAACCCCTTTCTTGTGTTTAATCTCTAAGTTAAAAGACTGGACGATTAGAGCCCAGCACATTAAGTGCTGGTTCATATTGTGCATTCAGGACAAGAAAACCAAAGGGTTGTGGTTGGTATAGACAACTACTGGACAAGAGCAATCTTCTACGTACACCTCAAAGTGTTGTAAAGCTAAAAGAAGAGCTAGGGCTTCCTTCTGAATCACACTGTAAGCTAGCTGCTGCTTCACAAACTTCTTGGAGAAGTAACAAATAGGATGGTCTAACCCTTGGCTGTCTTCCTGTAGGAGGACAGCACCGGCATCTAATCCGCTGGCATCCACTTCCAACTTGAAAGGTTTGGCGAAATCCAGGGCAGCTAGAATGGGGGAGCTGCTGAGCAAAGGCAGCCTGACAGGCTGGGGACCATACAAGCGGCATGCCCTTACAAAGCAACTGGGTAAGAGGTATCACAACATCCGAAAAATTGCAACAGAAGCACCTGTAATACCCGGCCATCCCCAAGAACCTCTTCAATTCATGCAGCGTTTGCGGGACGGGGAATGAGCATATAGCCTGGACCTTGGCATGGGTTTAATCATACCACGTCCCACTAACTTGCCCAAGTAACTAACCGTACCCTGTCCAAAATCACACTTCTCTAAGTTCAAAACTAACGAAGCATCTTTTAATCAAGTGAAAACTTGCTCTAGGGAACGTATATGCTGTTCCCACGAATCCGAGTAGATAACCACGTCATCCAAATAAGCCTCACAGTTTGGGACATCACCAAGCACTTTCTGCATCAGCCGCTGAAAGGTGGCTGGGGCATTATGTAACCCGAAGGGCATAACCGTGTACTGGAGGAAGGCATCAGGGGTAGCGAAAGCGGAAACTTCCAAAGCGCGAGGTGTAAGTGGGACCTGCTAATAACCTTTTAACAAGTCCAGTTTGGACACAAATTTGGCAGACCCGATGCGATCTACGCAGTCCTCCATACAAGGGAGCGGAAAAGCATCCGGCTTGGTTGCTGTATTCATCTTTCTGTAGTCTGTGCAGAAGCAAAAAGTGCCGTCAGGCTTGGGAACAAGCAGACACGGAGAACTCCAGGGACTACAGCTGGGGACAGCTAGACCGGTTTTTAACAGATAATTAGTCTCTTGCACTAACAAAGACCGCTTATGCGGGTTGACGCGATAAGGATGCTGTTTGGTAGGGGTATGATCACCAACATCGATATCATGCTCCACCACAGGAGTTGGCGAAGGGATGTCAGTGAATAGAGACCAAAATCTTTTTACTAGGGATGTGATGTCGGCCTGGGCGGTAGTTCAGTTAGCCGGCTTGGAAGGGTCTGAAGAGCTTCCGAGTTCGGTAAGCGAGCGCAAAGTAAACAGTTTTTCCCTAAAGACAGATCATCATCCTCCGGCGAATACTCACTGATAGACGCCACACCTACAGGAGTGGGGACCGCAGCAGGGACGGACGAGGGGGCGGAGGCTGAGCGATCAAGGTAAGGCTTTAACATGTTTATGTGACAAACCTGGGACAGGTAATTGTTTTTGTACTGCATCACGCACATATCCCGAGAAGTCAGGGGTACTCAGGTATACTGTGTGTAGAGGAACAGTGGTCCCACGCAAATCAATGTCCTGCACCAACACATCGGTACCACAATAGGACATATCACAGAGTGAAACAGCATCTTCCACTAGGAATGACTGGGCAGCACCCGTATCCCGCAGGATAGTCACCAGGTGTCGCACATCAGTTTCACTGAGCAAAACAGAACCGGAAAACACAAAAGGTTGAAAGGCAGGATCAACAGCATGGGGTGACGGCGAAATACCGTCGGTACAAGCAGCAACATGTACCTTTTTAGCCACAGCATGGACATCCTTCTATTTAAGTGCTGGACAAACTGAAATGATATGACCTACTTCGTGGCAGTAGAAGCATTCATGTCTTTCCACAGGCGGTGGAGACGAAGCAGGCGTAGCAGGAGGTGCCACCGGGCAGGGATAGAGTTTTCAGGGTAGAGGAGTCGGGGTAAACACAGTCCTATGAGTCAACACGAACTCATCGGCGAGGGTGGCAGCTTCAGCCAGAGAAGTGACTTTCTGCTCATTAAGATACACCACAACATGATCGGGAACACAATTTTTAAACTCTTCTAAGAGCAACAGCTCCTTGAGCTGATCGAAGTCAAATGCACCACTAGCAGATTGACCATTTTTCAAACAATAGTGACTTCTCCCGAGTAAATTCCACATGGGTTTGGCTGGCGGATTTACCAAGCTTCCAGAAGTTTTGCCGGTAAGCTTCGGTAACTAGCTCATAAGCCCGTAAAACAGTAGCCTTTACAATGTCATAATCCAGACTCTGCTCTAACACCAGAGCTGAACAAACTTCCTGTGCCTTCCCCACTAACTTGCACTGCAGCAGCAGCGACCACAGGTGCTTGGGCCAGTTCAACGTCGTAGCGATGCGTTCAAAAATGGAAAAATAGGTGTCCACCTCATTTTCCTGAAACACAGGAACAAGCCCGATATGACGACTGATGTCAAATCCCGAATTTCCAACTCCATTTTCCTGGGAGACTGGTGAATCTGAGGGAGAACGGAGGCTAGGTCGAGGAGTGTCTGGGGCAACAGCTCGGTCACGGGCGGACAGGCCTGAATGAGGGGTTGTACCTGGTGAGTGTACCTTAAGCGGAAGGGGCACAGGCTTTTGTTCACCCATGCTCATCCTTCGTAATGCCACCTCTTTATCAGCCTCAATCTCCACAGCCCGGACACGAAGTAGCTGAGCCTGGTACTCCTGCCTCGGAGGAGTATGTGGGATTCATGGGAATAGCAAATATGTTCCCTAGAGCAAGTTTTCCCTCAATTAAAAGATGCTTTGTTAGTTTTGCACTTAGAGAATTCGGACAAGGTACGGTTAGTTACTTGGGCAAGTTAGTGGGACGTGGTTTGGTTAAACCCCTGGACGCCAATATGCTCATTCCCAATATGCTCATTCCCCGTCCCGCAAACGCCACGTGAATTGAAGAGGTTCTTAGGGATGGCCAGGTGTTACAGGTGCTTCTGTCACAGTTTTTCGATGTTGTGATACCTCTTACCCAGTTGCGTCGTAAGGGTATGCCGTTTGTATGGTCCCCAGCCTGTCAGGCTGCCTTTGACTTGATTAAGATGTTGCTCAGCAGCTCCCCTGTTCTAGCTGCCCCGGATTTCGCTAAACCTTTCAAGTTGGAAGTGAATGCCAGTGGATTAGGTGCCGGTGCTGTCCTCCTACAGGAAGACAGCCAAGGGTTAGACCATCCTATCTGCCCTCAGTTACTCGCAAAAAAGATCCTTTTGTGTCTCGTGTTCCCTTTTCCCGTTCCCGTTTGACTTGTCATTCCCTTACCCTTTCCCTTTCCTTTCTGTTGTTCCTTACCCTA